TGGTCTAAGGCCAAAAGTTTTGCTGTATATGAAGACTATACCACTAAGCGGAAGGGAATCCATAGAAATCATCAAAATAGCCAAGACCCTGAATAGAATGAATGAATATAGAAAATTGAGCAGAAACTACTTATGACTGTTTTGATAAAACGAGAGAGAGAAAATGAACAAGAAGTATCGCCGAGCAGGAGGAGGAGGCTTGATTATCCTCAAATCTGGCTTTTATTTCCACACCTTACACATCACACGAGCATTGCACGCAAACAACACGTGCAATGGAACAGCATTGCAAGAACAAAAATGTGGGGGATTTGGGAAAGGATGCAGCTTGTTTGGTCACAATTTCATCCGTTTCACGCTTCCTCTGCAGCCACTTCACTTTTCAGTGAACATTTAGAGAAAGCATATGATATCCAGCCACAATAGTGGCACAAGCAAACATTTCTATCAATCAGAGCTCCTTTGATCCCCATCCCCCATATATTATTTATTTTTCACACTTTAAACGCTTATAATTATTTATTTAAAGTGGGCGAAGTTAGGCCATAAGAAGTAGGAGGGATTGTAGTCTGCCACCTTTCTTGTCCTCGAGCTTAGCAAATTATCGTAAAGCATAGTATCTTGCTCTGACGATGTTCGTCACATGGTGGGTGAAAGACCAGCAAGGATTCATAGGGGTCGCAGAATGGTGAACCAATTACTCATTGGCGCAAATTTACAGTCACAACTCCAAAGCAATCCCACTTCGGCCTCCAGTGAGGCCAACTTACGAATCCTTTGCACTCTTCTCTTCAGACAAACTTAAAGCTATTCCAGCATCATTCTTGTAGGGGATTCTTCGAAAACCAGTTTTCCTACATGATCAAGCAAGTGTCATTTCTTAGCTTTGTAGACACTCTGTAACTATGCTATGAAAACCAAGATGTTGAGAATGTAGTCTGCTCAGAGAGCCAACTTTAACTTTGGTGCACTTGGGGTCACATCACTATGGACACATAATCGCAACCGTCACATAAATTTGCGTTCATAGGCAACTTGACTAGAAATCCACTCTAGAGGCAGCAGGAGACCAGCTATAGGTATCCACAGGGTACACGGGTTGAATTAAGCAGATGAACCATGAAGGAAATACTTGATTTGGGAATCAAGCCTATGCGCTCTGCTCGGTGTGGCGCCCGAAGTAAAGCGTATATTTGGACTGGAAGCGAGGGAAATCAGTCATCTAGAAAGATAAGAAACGGATCTGCGGGCCAATAAAGGAGATCCGGATGGGAGGCCCGAGTCAGATCAGCAATTTAAGAGGGAAGGGGGAGCAAGGCAAACAGCAAATGTGATAACGCCACACTAAACTCGCTAAAAAGAGCACACCTTTAAAGGAGTGGAATGTAAAAAAAGTCAGAAGTTTTGACAGGCTAAGAGTGAGATAAAAGAGTAGGGAGTAGTTAGATAATCCAGAACAGGAGTGATATCACAACCGTTTCGGCAAAAAGTTCGTCAAGTGACTCACTTCACTTGTCTCCTGGACAAGTTGTAGCATGGTGCTGAGAATGATAAGACTCACTGATCATTCGACTACAATGCCGGCAAAACGTCTGGGAATGTACCAAGTGCACCGTCCGACACTGGGTATTGTAACTACTCTAGCAGAGGGTTTCGTACATGATGCAACCAACTAAGGCGTCATGACAACACTACCAAGTTGCAAAAACGAGGTCATACCACTCTAGAGGTAGTCTGTATTTTTGAAATTGATTTTCTCCTTCCCCACATTAGATTTACGGAGACAGTTTGGGACATCTTCATTTCCCCCCTAGCATGTGCCTAAATCAAAGTTAAGAAAGTCTACTTACCATTATCTCGGCTGAATTCCATCTGGAGGTGCCCCAATAGAAGGCCCAACCACGTTCGACAACATGCGTGCAGGCGCGAACCACCTCCTCGATATGTGTGGGAGAGTCGGGCGCTTTGGTCACCAGCATAATATCTACGTAATCCAACTGTAGCCTATCAAGGCAGCCAAGTATGCCTGTTGGAAACAATAAGCAGATGATGTTTAATGCGAAGTGGCATTTTTGAGTCTCAAAACTTTGGCGCAATCTGCCGGTGGGAAAGAGGTCCGTCACTTTTTCGGCCAGTTTACCGCCCAACTCAAGATGCCCAATGCGAATTAGCAACAGGAATGAGCTTCAAGAGAATGGGTCTTGTTAAACGTGAACATCTCAACTATAGCAGCAGCTAAAGTGACTGCAAGTTCACTAACATTTATCACAATATCCTGAATAGGTGTGATTTTCATTCTCCTCGATACAACACGCAATCGAGCAAGCCAACTTACTTTCTCTTTTCTTGTAGTCACCTGATGCTACCAGACTCAATGTTCTGCGCCATGTTCCTACCTGAAAAAAGTCGCTGAAATGTTGCATTCCTAAACATTTTTGTGTAAGCTAGCAGGTAGTACAATTGGTCGCAGCAAGCTTCCCACCGAATTATAAATCACAATTGTGGTAAATGAAGACATTCCTATCTATCAGAGCTCCTCTGCTCTTCTTTCCTCATCCATTATCTTTTTTTCACACTTTAAACACTTATAATTCTTTCTAATAAGAATGCCTTGTCTAGCTTTATTTATTTGATTTCTCCAGAATATATTATGATGCACTTGATAAAATTAACCTGATTTTTTAATGGGAAAATTGGGTTTTAAAGCCCATTGAACTTTTATTTCGTATGTTTGGGGAGTATTTATTTTTGAGCACATTCTGCTAGAAATTGTTTAGCGTTTAAAAAAAATTCCACCAAGCACAAGGCCAAAAATGGTGACCGACTACAATCCTATTCAAATCTTCTCCCTAATCCTTCCAATGGGACTAATGTAGGATATGAAGGGTTTAATTAAATTATTTCTATTTGCCATCTCAAAGAGATTCTTAAAACTGACGATGCCGAAGAATATGCCTGGTCAATGCCCCGATGCTGGAAAAGCAAGTTGCTACAAGAACATGTTTTTCTAAGTCTTTCTTTCGCCAAACAAAAAAAAACAACATTCAAATACTCATACCGAATACTATTCCATTCTTCTACAATGGTTCGGAGATTTCTCACATACTGGAGATGAGCAGAATAGCTAGCTCAATGTTAAAATCTAAGTGACTTTTTACACCTCCTGAAATAGATATCCTCCAACCACATATTGTCTAAGCACTTTCGACCAATCAAAGTGGGCACCAAATGAACCTGAGAATGTATATTTGGTCTCAATTAATTATATATAGGCACAAAACCCCCTATTAACTCAAAGGATATATATTCGAAACTAACCTTCAATTATATGCTTCCGCGATAGACCTTTTTCTGTTTCGACACTGAAAAGCAAGTGCACATTTAATGACACAGGAGCGTTGTTCTGAGGGTTAAAGTTGCGGTCAACTCACTTGCTCCGCCTGTAAATCTTGGTGCATATGATGTAGCTTGAGCGGCTGAAAAGTCAAAATGGCATGCCAGTCAGGCAGGGCCTGAGTAATATCACAAGAATAAGAGAATCCTACCTACCTCCATGACTTTTGTTGAAGTATCCGCCCCAGAGTTAGCTCAGCCCTGCAAATTGAGGGAAAAAGTCCAAGACGAGGGCCATAAGTGAATGATAAATTAGGCAAGGATTGGAGTATTCATTCGCTTTTAACAAGCTAAAATTGAGAGGACTAACTTTATTTGATGTAAAAAAGTTATATATAATTAAAGTTTCTTGCAATATAAAATGGGGCTTTTCCTAGGTGAGCGAGGCAGCAGGAGGCTAGTACGACAAAAGAGGGTGGAGAAGGGCTGATGGTGACAAAAAAGACTGACCTTTAAATATACCCAACTTGTCAGTCTATCTTTGCGTCTCTTGTTCCTTAGCTTATTGCATTTTGTACATTTTTTGGTAAAGTACGGTTGCTCGCTCTGACGAGGTCC